CATCCAGCTCTGCACCTTGTTGTCTCGGATTCTCCAGCATCTGCAGTTCCTACTATCTCTGATTCAATTTTAACCCCACTGCGAAGCCTCTTCTAAGGATGTCTAGCCTGAAGAAGTTACCCTCCTCCCTCCGGGCTTTTCTGATGAAGGGTCTAGGTCCAAAACATCAAAATTTCTGCTCCGATGATGCTGCTTGGTCTGCTGTGTTCATCCAGCTCTGCACCTTGTTGTCTCGGATTCTCCACCATCTGCAGTTCCTACTATCTCTCAATTAAAAGATGATGTTTACCAACAACCAAGACTTTTTCAAACCTGATCGGTCTCACTATTCATGGATCCAAGCAAAGTCAAATAACAAAAGACACTACTCCAGCTACACATTAATTTTTTTTAAAATTTTGATTGTTCCTGCAGTTCCACACATCTCTATCTCTCATTGATGCACACCCAGAAGATCCCAGTTCAATCCTTGCTCTGTCCTGAATCGAAAGATCTTAAAGCGATAACTTTTGTGGTATCAACCATTATATCCCTACGTTAAGCAAGTCAATTGGCCAGAGTTCCAACTCCTGACCACTGCCCAGGAACCTATTCTGCAATGGCATTTTGAGGATGTTACATGTAACATTGATTAAGGAGAACTAGTGGATATGGTGCATTTGGATTATCAGAAGGCTTCCTATTAGGTCCCACAGAAGAGGTTAGTAAAGTAAATTAGAGTGCATGCAATTGGGGGAAATATACTACAGTCATATAGTACAGAAACAGACCCTTCAATCCAACCAGTCCATTCTGACCATAATCCCAAACTAAACTCGTCCCACCTGCTTGAACTTGGCCCATATCCCTCCAAACATTTTTTATTTATGTACATACCCAAATATCTTTTAAACATTGTAACTGTACCCACATCTACCACTTGCTCTGGAAGTTCATTCCATATATGAATCACTCTGTGTATAAAAGTTGCCCCTCATGTCTTTTTTAAAGTCTTTCTCCTCCCACCTTAAAAACATGCTCCCTTGTCTTAAAATCCAGGCCCCCAGCCACCTTGGGGAAAAGACACCTACCATTCACCTTATCTATGCCCCTTATGATTTTACAAACCTCTATAAGGCCACCCCTCACCTTATACGCTCCAGTGAAATTAGTCCCAGCCTGTCCAGCCTCTCCCTAGAGCTCACATCCTCCATTCCTGGCAACATCCTGGTAAATCTTTTCTGAACCTTCTCCAGCTTAATAATATCCTTCCCATACCAGGGCGACTAGAACTGGACCGAGAATTAGTTAACAGAAGAGGAGAGAATAAACATAAACAAGTTGGGTTCAGGTTGGCTGGCAGTTACTAGTCTGTAGCTGCAAGTATCAGTGCTCAGAACACAACTGTTTGCAATCTGTATGAATGATTTGGTTGTGTGGAGTAATTCTAACAATTCCAAATGTGCTACTGACACTAAACTATATGGGAACAGAAGTTGCGAGCAGGATACAAGGAGACTTCGAGAGGAATTGGGCCAGGCTGAATGAATGGGCCAGGACATGGCAGATAGAATATAATGTGGATAAGTGTGAAGTTAAAAGAAAACAGGAAGATGGAATATTTCTTAAACGGTGAAATGTTGGGAAGTGCCGATGTCCAAAAGAACCTGGATATCCTTGGTCACTAGTTGCTAAACGTTAGCAGGCAGGTGGAGCAAGCAATTAGAAAGGTAAGTTGTATGTTAGCCTTCATCATAAAGGAGATTTGAATATAGGAGTAAAGACATCTTGATGTAGCTGAATGGAGCGTAGGCAAGACTGCACCTGGAGTATTGTGCACAATTTTCGTTCCCATATTTATAATTTGACACAGAAGGAGCACAATGCAGGTTTCACAGATTAATCCCAGGATGACAGGATGAGGAGATCAAGTTTGAATTTCCGAGAGTTTTGAAGAATGAGGGATGATCTCATTGAAACTTTTACAAAGTTCTTACAAGGCATGATAGGGTGAATATAGGTAAGATGTTTCCCTGAGTGGTGAGTCTAAAATAAAAGGGTACACCTCCAGATGAGGGGCAGACTAAGGAGGAATCTCTTCACTCAGAGGCTGGTGAATCTTCAGAATTTTCTACCCCAGAAGGCTGTGGAAGTTGCATCATGGAGCATGTTCAGACAATACATTTCTGGAGATTAATGACATCAAGCCATATGGAGATAGTGTGGGAAATTGGCATTGAGGTAGATGATCTAAATGAATGGCTAGCAGCCCCAATGGGCTGAATGGCCGACTCCTGAGAAGGGTTGGTGTGCTTCTGCTTGTAACAGATCTGAGGCAATGCAAAAATGCTCTGAAAGGACAGTCAAATAGGTAGATGGAGAACAATTTGGCTTTCAATGCAAAAATAGCAGCCAGGATTTTCCAAACCTAACACAAAATGAACACAGACAGCCAGACTCTATGCACACAGGTAGGATAGGCTTTGAACTGCTAGTCAATGCCACAACAATAGGCCGCCATAAGATCATATGAAGCTCTGGAAGCTTCGGTCACAACAATCACCCCTTGTGTTTTACAAGCAGATACCTGCGACACATTTCAACACGAAAGCAGGAGTATGACCCAAGTACAGATGGTTAGGTGATTTACAAAACAATTCAATGCATGTTTTTCTGTGGCTGGGAGGGAGTGGGGATCGAGAATTTGTTACTGGTGTTGCTATCATTCAAAAACATGTCTCCAACAGAAAGCAGAAAAACAGGTTTTGCCACAAGATGCCAAGAAGTTACAAGGTCTGTTCCTGGCTAGGTTATTTCCTCTTTTGCGTTGAGGATGTGCTTATCAAAGCAGATGTTCTGAAATCAGGTGCCAGATCTTACAGGGTGCTGAGCAATGAAGGCCGTGAGGTTTGCGACAGAATTGTCAGAGAAATCCAGGCCAACTGCTGCATCTTTTACACATTTGCTGAGTGACGTTGTCAGCTCTTCGATAGGCAGCAGTGAGTTGATTTGATTTGATTCATTTATTGTCACATGTATTTTGTTTGACAAAATACAGTGAAAAGTGCTGCGCAGATTCCCCACTCTCCGGGGGTCAATTAAGAGGGATTATTGCTTGTTGAATGACTGATTAACATCATAGCTCACTAATATTCCATTTCCTATTTTACCAAACGTGCCAACTAAATTCTCAATTCTAAATTCACAGAATTCTCAACGAGAAAACCAGAACGGGTTCATAGCAAGTTCAGCTCGTCCCTTGCTTCAAAGAATTCCATGTTGGACCAGTAGGTACCATGATCTCCGGGCACGCTCCATGGGCACCCCACGGTCATTGAGTTTGTGTTCTAATGTTCTTGTGTTGTCTTGGCACTTCCATCAAGTGCCAGCCTCTAAGAACCCTCGTGGTACAAATCAAAACCACTGGAAGGAGCATTTCTGCCTTTCAATGCTGCACCAGCGATTGCCAATGTGATGCTGGATAAAGGACACTGTGTACTCATGGACTGCAGCAGGCTGTGTCCCCAGATCCTTCACTCACTGTCACTGTGCTCACTCACTCTGAGCCTAGCTGGATTCCCACAGCATCCCTGCCTTGCATTGCCTTTTTGCACTTTGAAAGGATAGTTAAATAGGCAGAGGGAGAACAATTTCATCCAGAGATATGACGCTCATTACTTTTGTTTTGCTTTGCCCCGTTTAGCACAGATGCAAATCCAGATAGCTCCTCATGGTTGTCAGTCAAGTCAAGGGGCATAGCCTTTGGTCAGGGGCGGTCAGTAAGGCAAAGGCAGCCTCCAATACCAGGTTCGGACGGGGTCAGTCAGCCAATTGGGGCAGTCACAGTCAGGATGGTCTTCAGTTAAGGGCAAGGAGCTGAACGTTGGGTAGCCCACCATCCAGCCAGACTCTTTCTGCCTATCCCGGGTTCTGAAAGGAAAAGCAGGCAGGTATTACAGGAGATGACAGTGGGTGGCAAAGCGGTGCAAGGGGTGTTCCGAGCAAGTGAGTAGCCAGCACAGAGGGCATGCAGGGTTACTGGTGTCGGGAGTTGGGCTGGATGACAGTGAGTGAGGGAAGATGTTGTCGGTAGTAGTGACAGTGCTGGAGCCTTGGTGGGAGGTGAGTAAAGTAATACAGGTGGAGCAAATGAGGTATTGGAGAGAATCTGGTGGCACTTAAGTTGGCAGATAGGAGAAAGACATTGGCTTCGTTCCTCCAGTGCTGCAAATTCCTCCAGGTGGCCAAGATTGCACTGACCAGGCGGCATCTTCAGACCAGGATGGCATCGTCTGGTGTCAACGCCTCCATTTCTCATCTTGAGGGAACAGGACACCCTGCCCCTGCTCTAGCCTGTCCAGCAGGACCTCTAGGTCACTGCCCACAAAAGCATAGCATTGATTTCCCAGTCAGCCAAGTCCGGGACAAATGTGACAAACCGCGCAGGGCAGCTCTGGTCGGTCAGTGCTTAGCCAGGTACACAACAGCCTTTCAAAGAAAGCACCAATGCAAGATATGCTGGTCAATTCCAGTAAGTGGTGACTTATTCTGGGTACTGCACATGGCGAGATGGAACTAGAATCAGACAAGGTGGACACCACAGGGATAGGGTAGGTAGTTAACGAAGTGCGTTTGGTAAGAAACCATGAGAAAACTCGCTCGGCCTTGTGGCCAAAACACCCTCTTGAAATAAACTCAATGCAACTCACTCTTAGCCAAAAATTAAATAAGATTCAACCTCATGTTTCTAAACCATGGAGCTGATTGTAATTTGGGGGGAAAACAGAGAAATAGAGAACCCAACAGTGTCAAAGCAACAAACCACTGATGCGTCCTCCCAAGAGGTATTAAATTCCCAAGCCTCATAAATGGATTCCAGCAAGAACTCTAATTCCCGCCAGCTTTGGACAAAGTCATCATGGATCAGCTCACAGAAACAGAAAATGACAAAGTATGTGTGGGCTGGGAGAAGACAATTAATGGTAGGGCCCTGGGTGGTATTGTAGAACAGAGAGACCTAGGAGTTCAGGTCCATAATTCTTTGACATTTGGATTAGAGGGTAATTGAGGCAGCATTTAGCACACTTGCCTTCGCTGCACAGACCTTTGAATATAGGAGTTAGGAAGTCATGTTGAGGTTGTACGAGATGTTGGTGAGGCCTCCTCTGGAGTACTGTGTGCAGTTCTAGTCGCCCTGTTATAGGAAGGATATTAAAGCTGGAGAGGATTCAGAAAAGATATACCAAGATGCTGCCGGGAATGAAAAATTTGAGTAATACAGATAGGTTGAATAGGCTGGGACTTTTTCACTGGAGTGTAGGAGGTTGAGGGGTGACCTTATGGAGGTTTATAAAAGCATGAGGTGAATGACAAGGGTCTTTTTCCTAGGGCGGGGGAGTTCAAAACTAGGTGAGAAGAGATGGATTTAAAAAGGACATGAGGGGCAACTATTTTTTTTTACACATACAGCGGTTAGTGTGTGGAATGAACTTCCTGAGAAAGTAGTGGATGTAGGTACAGTTACAATGTTTAAAAGACTTTTGGATAAGTACATGAATAGGAAAGGTTTGGAGGGATATGGGCCAAGTGCAGGCAGGTGGGATTAATTTAGTTTGGGAACTTGATCGGCATGGACTGGTTGTACTGAAGGGTCTGTTTCCATGCTGTATGACTCTATGACCAGTCAGGATTGGAGTTGCACCTTGGGGCAAGGGACTCCCAGGTTATCCTCATGAAACAAGGAATGAGCAGGAATGCTTCTCCTGGCCCACAAGAATTTCACACAATCACTATTTTTCCAAAGTTGCCTTGACTGCTTTTGTCCATCCCAAGGCTGGCTTGTCAGGATTGGCTCCTTGTAGGTTCTGAAGTTTAAAGTCCTTAGTGTAATTGGACTGTGGCTCTCAGTCATAAACTGGGCTCTCACCTGCCCGCATCTTGGCCGATTTCAGTGTAGGTGGACACAAAATGATAAACAGGTAGGAGCAGGCATCTTTTGTTGTGTGGGTTCATGCGAACGTCCAAGAGTTTGGGTTCCGAGCAAGTGAGTAGCCAGCACAGACGGCATGCAGGGTTACTGGTGTTGGGAGTTGGGCTGGATGACAGTGAATGAGGGAAGATGTTGTCGGTAATAGTGACAGCGCTGGAGCCTTAGTGGGAGGTGAGTAAAGTAATACAGGTGGAGCAAATGAGGTATTGGAGAGAATCTGGTGGCACTTAAGTTGGCAGATAGGAGAAAGACATTGGCTTCGTTCCTCCAGTGCTGCAAATTCCAGGCATCTCTTGTTGTGTGGGTTCATGCCAACGTCCAAGAGTTTGGGTTCAAAACAGACTGGTCTAGGAGAAGGCAAACTCAGGAACCTCAAACTTCGGCTTCTTTATAACACTGTTCATTATATATTATGACTAAATACTACAATACAGTGTAATGTGAGATCATTTCATCATTATATTCTTGAAAAACTATTTTATATTCGCAACCACATTAATTGGTCTACTCACACACTTTTCTACACATTTTTCTGACATTCATATAACTAGACTTCAGGCTTCTGCCTACCATTGTTTTACCCTGTCCACTCCTTCTTGCCTTAATCACGCCCACACTGTGCTATTTATGCCCATTGAGGAGCAGTTTACTGACATCATCGTAAAGACAACAGGGCTTACACAAATTGTTGTGCGGGTGCAGATGACGTTAAACAGTTCCTAGCCCCACTTCCACTAGATAGAGGGATTAAACATGAACCCCAATGATCAACACCCCCGCCCACCAAAGTGCACTATGTTCTTTCAATCTCATTAATGAGGATGAGCAAAGACAGACCTAGATTCTCCTTTTTATTATTTAGGAGGCAATTCCCTCACACCCTTGTCACCAGCCTTTATGACGGGGACGATTCATTTGTTAGTAATTTGCACTCCTCTCATCAGTCACCTACTGCACTGTTATTTCAGGGCAGCTCGGAGTGGCTCCTGTTGCCTCTATATAGAATGCAGACCTTTTTTAGAATGCTGGAGTCTCTACTAATTGTTACTGCTATAGACAGAGTTCAGTTGAACTTCAGGAGAGCATCTCGTAGACACAGTGCATGCTGAGCAGCAGAATTACAAACATTAGGATCATAAAACTTGAGTTATTTGGAAAAAAACTACAGAGAGATTTACCTGACTTTGTTGGCTGTTGAAACTTAAAATTTGCGAACTGTGAACCTGCAATACAGGGTGTGACCTTCAATTCTTTCTGACCATAGATCGTGAGAGAACTCAAAAAATCCACCAATTCTTCCACGGATTTTTCTTCTTGTTTCTCCAGTTCCTTATCGCACCTATTGAGGGAGTAAAGTTCAACTAGGAATTGATTATCTTGAGACAAAACACAAATATTACATTTGCAAAGACCTTAGCTGCTGGTGGGAGACATACATGGGGGTTCTGAATACAAGTAAGCAGAGACAACCTGCCACAGTCACAAAATATTTTCCCTCTATTCCTTTCTCACAAACCCCTCTCCATGTTTGACAGTCACAGTAAATCTCTCCCAGCTGCTACACACACTCTCAGAATTTTCTCTTGTTTTTTTTTCCCTCCTGGGCTGCTGGAGTTGCATGTGTTTTGTGAATTTGCCTTTTTCCAAGGATGTGTTTATGGGATGTTACTACACTGGAACAATTAATTAGTAACAGTTACTATATCTATTATTGTGTTAAGTTTTCCAATAGAGTTAAGTTATTCCAATTTCTTCTTTATTTTGTTGTATTTTAACTATAGTGGATGAATAAAGTGTGCCTTGTTTTAATTCTAATAGTTTGACTATTCGAACTGCATCTAGAATGAAACATGTTATATTTGTCTTGAAAATAAGAAAAAGTTAGGGTCTAGACCATCTTCTGAATATTTTGAGGGGGTTTGGTCTGGTCCATAACACAATTGTACATTTTGCATATGGTTGAGTAAGCTTTATTTTTGCAATATACTAATGTTTTAATTGTCACCTTAAGCAGTTTGGCTGACTTGTTTCAGATATGGAGCTATCTGCAGTCTGATATATAGTTGGGAGTATTAACTCCCTTTTTGAAACTTAAACCTTGCTGCGGTCAGCAGAGAAGTGTGAATCACTTCTCAGAGAATCATTTCACCCACCCCTCCCAAGTTGGTCAAAACAGGTTGAGTAGATATACTTGCCCAAGGAGCAGGGTGGTTAACAGTTGATAGCCATCAGCACGTTCAAAATCAGCAAGTAGCTCTGCAGACACTTGATACGAGTCTTTCACAAAGCAAAGCACATGCACTGCTGCTTGAGCTGCATCATAGACCAATGACTTGTCTGCCATTGCAGATAAACTCTGAATGCACTTCGTTATACAATCACTGTCTGTGTAAAATATAAATCTTATTAGACTTTCATGCCGCATATAAAATATAGAAGTTATACATCAGCAAAGGAAACAATTTTTAATTCATTAATTTCTATCTGGTATAAATCTTTCCGTCAAGGCTTCTGAACTGATTAACAACGTTGAAAGTGCTCTCTGTGCTTTTAGAAATCCTTTATCAATGTGAAATTTCACCACGTTAAGGTCCAAGCTTTGGGGAGGCAATGGTCAATTGGTGATATTGCTGAACTTTTAATCCAAAGACCCCGTTAATGTTTTGGGGACCTGAGTTCAAATCCCACCAGAGGGTGGAATTTGAGTTCAATAAAAATCTGGAATTGAGAAACTAATGATGACCATGAATCCATTTGAGATAGCAAGAACTGCAGGTGCTGGAGTCAGAGTTGATACAGTGTGGAGCTGGAGGAACGCAACAGGTCAGGCAGCATCAGAGGACTAGGAGAGTCGACGTTTCAGGCCTAGCCCCTTCATCGGAGGCCAGTCGCACAGCAATGTGGTTGACTCCTAACTGGGCAATGAGGGAAAGGCAATAAATACTGGCCTAGCCAGTAATGCCTTCATCCCATGAATGAATTTTAAAAAAAGGCCTTCGAACAGATACCACACATCCAGCAACCAGCTGTTCAACTGCACCAATCCACTGGTAAGTTTACACCAAGGTATCTCACCTTTAAATTATTTCTAAGAACTTGCATATTAATCGCCCATTGAACCCACAGCAGAAAATTAAATCTGGTTTGGCATATCCTTTTCACAACATAGAACTTATCAGTGATTGGCAGGTAGTTAGTCAATCCCTCTAGCCCAGAAAAAGAGCTTGTCAGGATGTCGAGTCTCATTTCTACATGTGGTGAATTGTTATTGGCAATTTTAAAAATGTCACATCCTAAATAATTTTTTGTTTTAATCTTTGCCATCTTGCTTTTCTGTCTCTTAATCCAGTCTCCTCTCTCTCTCTCTCTATTTCTCTCTTTGTAGTAGATTTGACATTGAATTATCTCACTCAAATTCATCCTCCTCAATGACTCCTTTTCTTTATTTCTCACTCCTTAAATCACATTAGTCAACAAGATTGCTAGAACAAAGCCAGGGGCCTAGATATAAAGCAGTCATTCATAAATCTGATAGAAAATGTAGGAGAAACATCATGATGCAAAGAGTACTTAGAACATGGAACTCGCTCCGAAGAGAAGTATTTGAGGCAAAATTCATAGATGCATTTAAGGTGAAGCTTAACAAATGCGTGGGCAAGAGAGATAGCAAGAACTGCAGATGTTGGAGTCAGAGATAACACAGTGTGGAGCTGGAGGAACAGAGCAGAACAGGCAGCATCAGAAGAACAGGAAAGTTGACATTTCAGGTTGGGACACTTCTTCAGAAACATCAACTTTCCTGTTCCTCTGATGCTGCCTGGCCTGCTGTGTTCCTCCAGCTCCACACTGTGTTATTAAATGCATGGGCAAGGTGGCAGCAGATACTAATGCTGACAGAGTTAGGAGGAGGGAGGGTGGGAGGTAGTTCATGTGGCACATAACCACTGGCATGGATGAATTTGGCAGAATGGCTTCTTTTGCTGCATATTCTATATAATTCAACAGGCATTTCTCGACTCTGAATATGCTCGCTATACAACTGCATTAAGACCAGACAGGGGAAAACGCAGGAAAGATATTCCTGATAAGTAGGAAGTCCAAAACCAAGGATTACAGTTTGAGGATACAGGATAAGCCATTTAGGACTGAGAAGAGGAGAAATTTCTTCACTCAGAGAGTGCTGAACATGTGGAATTCTCTGCCACAGAAAGTAGATGAGGACAAAACATCAGGTATTTTCAAGAAGGTTGTTGATATCAATCTTAGGGCTAAAGGAATCAAAGGGTATGGGGACAAGGCAGGAGCGTGGTATAGAGTTGGATGATCAGTCATGAATGGTGGAGCACACTCAAAAGTCCCGATTCTCTATATATTCATTTAAAAAAGGAGTCAGAGGCTGGTGGTGATCTGCTGTTCGATATTTGACGTCAAACCTTAGTCCCATGAGAGGTCCAGGCATGAGGGGATGATCCTATGATGGCAATGTCACTGGACCAAACCAGTTTGTCAGACAGATATCCATACACTGCATCAGAGATTTACAACTGTTTTATTGTTTAACTAAAGTTCAATGCAAGGAGCAGTTTCACCTTTCCCTCCTGGATCCTTTAGTTACCCAGAATCCAACACACCCACCGGGGAAAAAACCTAGTTCTTTTTGAAACTTCTTTTAAAAGATTAAATCATAACCAAGTCACCTTAGTCACCAATTATATAAACATATTACACACACACACTGCCCACTGGGGACAGAGCAAGGCTAGCAAAAGAGAAACGGCAAGGAGATTAAATTAAAATGGAGTTGGAGGGGGAAAACCCACTTTTTTTTTTTAAGATCTGTAACGTTGCGTGTTTATGTTTCAGTGACAGACATCTTGTTAACACCGAAATAAAATGATCTATCAATCCAACATGCAGTCCGGGATCTGACATGTCGAGTAATAACATCAGCTGAGATCATAATACTCAGATATCCAATCAATGGAGGTTTTCAGTCTGAGATTGACAGATTTTTGTTAGGTGAAGATATCAGATTTTGTGAAGAGGGGCTGGCAAAGGAAATAAAACGTAGATCGACCATGATCGAAGAGATTGGAGAGCAATTACGAAACAGCTGAGCAACCGGTTAGAGCGTGGAATGAACTGCCAGAGAAAGTGGTGGATTTGGTTACAGTTATAACATTTGAAAGACATTTGGATAAGTTCATGAACAGGAAAGGTTTGGACAGATATGCACCAAGCACAGGCAAGTGGGACTAGTTTAGTTTGGGAACATGGTTGGTGAAGACTGGTTGGACCAAAGGGTCTGTTTCCATGCTGTATGACTCTATGATTGCTTCCCTTTTTGAGGTAGAAATGAGTTCTGTATGGACTAGGACATCCCAAACACTGATCCTAGGTACTAAGGTGGCTACTTCCAATGCTACAACTGGCTTCAGTATCCCAAGGCTGGAGAAACAGACCATAAATTTGCCATTTAATTGCTGCCCATTGATCCAAAGGCCAGAAATCACACACATGCATAGTGTTGTGTTTCATCAGTTTCCTGTGTATTTTATATTCTTTGATTTGCCTCAGAGCTACATAGAAATGATACTGGTTTCTAAATCAGGAACTGGTTTATTGAGATAGTAGGAACTGCCGATGCTGGAGAATCAGAGATTTCTAAAGAAGGGTCTAGACCCGAAACAAGGTGTAGAGCTGGATGAACACAGCAGGCCAAGCAGCATCATAGGAGCAGGAAGGCTGACGTTTCGGGCCTGGACCCTTCATCAGAATTGGGGGAGGGGAAGGAGGTTCTGAAATAAATAGGGAGAGAGGGGGAGGTGGATAGAAGATGGATAGAGGAGAAGATAGATGGAGAGGAAACAGACAGGTCAAAGAGGCGGGGATGGAGCCAGTAAAGGTGAGTGCAGATGGGGAAGTAGGGAGGAGATAGGTCAGTCCAGGGAGGACGGACAGGTCAAGGGGGCGGGATGAGGTTAGTAGGTAGGAAATGGGGGTGCGGCTTGAGGTGGGAGGAGGGGATAGGTGGGAGGAAGAACAGGTTAGGGAGGCGGGGACGAGCTGGGCTGGTTTTGGGATGCGGTAGGGGGAGGGGATATTTTGAAGCCCTACCTCTTTGACCTGTCTGTTTCCTCTCCACCTATCTTCTCCTCTATCCATCTTCTATCCGCCTCCCCCTCTCTCCCTATTTATTTCAGAACCCCCTTCCCCTCCCCCAATTCTGATGAAGGGTCTAGGCCCGAAACGTCAGCCTTCCTGCTCCTATAATGCTGCTTGGCCTGCTGTGTTCATCCAGCTCTACACCTTGTTATCTCAGATTCTCCAGCATCTGCAGTTCCTACTATCTCTAGACCCGAAACGTCAGCTTTCCTGCTGCTCTGATGCTGCTTGGCCTGCTGTGTTCCTCCAGCTCTACACCTTGTTATCACTGGTTTATTGAGAGTTGTTTTCACAAATCCCTAAAAGCACAAAATGTCTGCTCTGTTTTTCTAGCAGCTTCTCTGTTCACTTTAGCTCTGAGTCAATCTAGGCTTAGCCAATCGAGCTGAGTGTGCCTGAGTAAGAAACATAGATCCCTTTAAAGCTCAAAATATTGTTTTCTTAGAAGCCTTCAACTCACCCATTTCACTCAATGACACACACTGGCTACCAGAGGCAATGAAACTATAACGAAAGGGAAGGGTAGGGAAAGTGGGAGATATTAAATTAGAATGGGGTTGGAGGTAGAACTCAACTTATTTTTTTCTGTAAAGTCACCACCAAATCACTCATTGGACTTGAACTCAAGTCTCCTGACTCAGAGACAGGACCAACATCAGATTTTTTCTGATCCACCTGCTCAGAAACTCTACTACACAGCTGTGGGGCAGGTGGGTCAGACTCCTGAAGAAGGGTAATACCCAAACGTTGTCTGCTCCTTTTCTCCAGATGCTGCCTGGCTTGCTGTGTTCTTCCAGCCTCCTGTTTGTCTCCAATAAACATCACCTGCCGTCAATTAACATCCTGCTTGGCCTGATGGTTTCACGTGGCACAGTGGTAGTATCCTTTCCTCTAAGCCAAGAGGGCTTGGTTCAAGTCCCACCTGCTCCAGAGGTGTGTAATAAAATGACCGAACAGATTGATTAATAAAAAGAATCTAACACTGTCGTAACAATCCAAGTGCTCAGGCCAGGAATGAGGGTTCAAATCCTGTTACAGTAGCTGATGGACAATAAATTCGAATAGTAAATCTAGAACTGAGTCTTAGTAATGGCGTCCGTAAAACTATCATCGATTGTTGTAAAAACCCAATTGATTCCGTTACATCCTTTGGGAAGGGAAGTCTGTTGTCCTTATCTGGTCTCACCTACGTGTGACTCCAGACCCACAGCAATATGGCTGACTCTCCCCAAAATGGCTTAGCAAAACAAACATCAAGGACAGCTAGAGATGGGCAACAAATGTTTGCCTTCCCAGCAATGCCCTTACGTCATGAAATAAAAAAACAAACAAACAAACCAACAAACATTGATAAGGAAAGACAATGGAGGTGCTAATATATTTCAATGTTTTTGAACAAATCGAACTTCAATGAGACAGTTATCGGAAATCTCCTTGTGTAGTTAGTTACTGTTTTCACAAAAGGAAATATAACTGAATGCTTCAGGAACACAGGTTTTAATTGTAAAACAATTTCTGGAAATATATGTCTTATAACAAACATATTCATAACTAAAAGTGTGCACGCACCGTGTAAATATCTGACGATATTTTTAGTTGGTGTTTTAGATATGGCCTTCAGCACATGACCTGTATATATTCTCCAGGACGAGTTGCACTGGGCCCATTGGGAGGCCACTGCTGAAATCAGACACCTCAGGTCATCAGTTTGTACCATTGCCTCAACAGCAGAGACCTGGCTGCACAAATGCAGCATGATCTGAAAGACAGCAAGCACAACGCCAGTGTTCAATTACACATTTCGGCATCATCGAAGGTATTAAAAGTTAAGATGCATTTTAACAACAGATATTCAAGTCTGCATTCTTTTGTGAAGAATGGCTACTGAAAGAATAGAAAGTGCAGCTTAATGGAACTACCAAACAAGCAAACAAGAACTGTAACGTAGAACTTTTAGTTTTATTCTTTATTTCTCTATTTTAGTACCTAAGATGGTGCCATATTTGGTGGCATTGTACACTTTTCACTGTACTCCTGTACATGACAATAAAACCTAATTCTAATTCTAAATGTCAGTTTGTGTGCACTCATACTGGACTTGATTAGTTTGTACACATCAGGAAACATCATCTTTGACATTGCAATATCAGTCCTGCGGTATTCTGGAGTCTCCAACTATTCTTGTGTGATTTTATAATCAGATAACGGTACGACCATTTAGGATTGGGAGTGAATATTTGGGAACTACATGAGCAAAAGTGTCCACCTCTTATGACTAAATGCCAACTCAATTTGCGCAATTATTTAAAACAAAAAAAAATTTAAGACTCATTCCCACTTGACAAACATCATAAATTTGTAATGTGAATTATTTGAATACTTTGTGCTTGTCCCTTTTTACAGAATTAAGACAAATGTGATCCTCCATAATTAACAGCCCAATAGCAAAAAATTGCAACATGAGGTATCACAGAGAGAGTTTGCAAGTTCACAGTGTGAGCAGCAAACATTTCCAATGCAGTTAATGGTCTAGGATGGGCACCAATCCACAATGCCCATTACATGCCAGGTGCTGGCTTGAAAAGCTGTTCCTTTAAAGCTTCTGAACCTAAAATAAAAATTTTTAAAAATTGAGTCTACAATAGACCTTTCCAATTCAGAAACCAAACTCAGCAAAGAAAACTGAAGGCAGGAAATCCTACGTAGAAATGTTTCAAACAAATAGCGACACAGTCACCAATTGTGAGGCAGGTTTCAAGAGGAGAACCAGTTTTAATTCCTCGTTCATACAGTGCTGAGTACTGTCAGGAGTCGGGAGATTGGTTAGCTCAGTTGGCTGGACAGCTGGTTTGCGATGCAGAGTGATGCCAACAGCAATTCCCGCACTGGCTGAGTTTACTATGAAGATTACCTTCTCAACATCTCCCCTTGCCTGAGGCGTGGTGACCCTTAGGTTAAACCACCACCAGTCATCTCTCTAATGAGAGCAGTCCTCTGGGACATTGATGACTTTACATTTACCTTAAATATACTATTTATATTTCAGTGTGCAAAGCTGCAGGGACTGAATTAAAAAGTAAGATATTTGCAGATATTTTTATCATTTGTCGATTCTGAATGCAATTTATCTACTATGCAAACTTTCCAATTGGAGATGAATCAAAGGTACAAGGGTAATTTCAACTTACATGGGTTACAGTTTCCTGAAATATTGTGCTGGTATCCTGTGTCTGCGATTCCATTTTTTCAGACCCTCTTTTGGATGAGAAAGCAAAAAGGTGCAAACATTTTAAAAGAATTAAGTGCAGTCCTGTTTTCACAATACATCTCAGTATTTCCTGAAGATAGAAGAGGTGGAAAAAAAATTGGGAACATTAATGTTACTGGGTGAAGAATGTTTCATTTTATGTTATTCTTCATCATTGAGCATATACCGGACTTGGACAATTCTGGCTGATTAAATATTAATTACGTATAAAGCTCTAAATTATATTTCATATGCAGTGGGGCAAGTTTAGTATGAACAATTTTCAATAAACAGATTCATTTTACAGAACATAATTAGCAGAGTGGAACTGAAAGAACATACTTGACTGAAAATAACAGGACTTTCATGTAAAAAAAAAAAAGGCAGAATGGGGGGCAATTATTTTAACTCCTCAAAAAGGTTCAGTCTGACTCATTAAAATTAAAGCCCTTCATTTCCAGGATCATTCTTGTGACCGCCTCCAAGGCCAGCATATCCTTCCTTATAAATGAGCCCAAAATTGCTTATAATATTCCAAATGCAGTCTGACCAGAGCCTTTTCCGCCTCAGCAGTATATCCCTGCTTTTATATTCCAGCCCTCTTGAAATGAGTGCTAACATTGCATTTGCCTTCCTAACAGCCACCTAACCTGCATGTTAACCTTAAGAGAATCCTGAACTAGGACTCCCAGGTTCCTTTATGTTTCAGATTTCTGAAGCCTTTCCCCATTTAGAAAATAGCCTATGCCTCTGTTTTTCCTACCAAAGTGCATAACCTCACACTTTCCCACATTGTATTCCATGTGCCACTTCTTTGTCCACTCTCCTAGCTTGTCTAAGTCCTCCTACAGCTTCTCTGCCCTCCACCTATCTTTGAGTCACCTACGAACTGAGCAACAAAGCCCTCAGTTCCTTAGGCCAGGTCGTTAATGTGCAACATGAATAGTTGTAATCCCAATGCTGACCCCTTCAAAACTAGTCACCAGATGCCCTCCTGAAAAAGACCCCTTTAACCCCACTCTCTGCTTTCTCCCAGTCAGCCAATCCTCTGTCCATGCCAGTACCCCTAACACCATCTGCTCTTATCTTATTTAGTGGCCTCCTGTGTTGCAGCTTGTTAAAGGCCTTCTGGAGATCCAAATAGATCACGTTCTCTAGCTCTCCTTTATCTAATTTGCTTGTTATACCTCCTCAAAGAATTCTAACAGATTTGTCAGGTAAGACCCTTCTTGGTGAAGCAGTGTTCACTCAGCCCTATTTTACTATGCACTTGCAAGTACTCTGCAATCTCATCTTTAATAATGGACTCTAAAGTCTTACCAACCAATTTGCATTAAGTTTGCAACATTTTATTTATAGTAGCTGTCCTGCAACCATATTTTGAGTCAAAATAATGACTACATTTGTCTATACTTCTTGATATCTTGCCCATCTCTTCTACATAGTCCTCTTTCATTTGCTGCATCTTATTTGCAACAGTATTGTAATGGTTGCGTTGCTGGACTCAAAACCAGTAATCCAGGTGTTTCAATCCTGCCACTGTATTTGAGAATTTTAATTAAATTAAAAGCAAACAGCTGTGATTAATAACATCTTTAAAAAAGTAGATTACTTATAATTATCCTCCGAAGCTACATCAAATCTGCAGTGGCTCAAGAAGCCAAGGGCATAATTTGGGATGGGAATACATGCTAGTTTTGCCAGCAATTCCCAGCTTCTGAAAAGTTAACAAATAGAAAGGGAAAGTTCAAGATTTGTGAACCATTCCTCTGATAAGGCTTGTCTTTAAAGTAATTGCCAACACATTTCAACTGTTCTATATTAAAAACATTGCACAGGGGCTTGTAAAAGCATGATAAAAACACATGTCAAATATAATGCAACTCAGTAATACACTTCCTTCGTACACTGCCTCTAGAGTTGAAAGCTATAAATCTTAATCGAGACCTGGTTCAAGTTGAAAGCTCACATATAATCAGGAGGAGATATTTCTCAATTAGTCACTTCATGTGGAATTTTACCATCGTTAAACTGACAGCTCAAGGATACAGATATTATCACCAGCACCTTACAAATGAGTGATGAGCACCTCCTACAGGCTGGTAAAACAGCTACAACATCAGCATATTCTTTACATTAAAAGAAAACAAGCATGTATGCTGCACTTTTTGGCAGCTTCTCAAAGCCTCTCCTGCCTGGTCTGAAGTCAGAAATACCATTGATTATATCACAGAGGGAAATAAAGCTTCCGGACAAACAGAATAGTATCACTGTTCCTTTTGTTTCTTTATTCCACCACCATTCTTTCACGGATTTGTATGTGACTTCCATTTCTTCATTTTTTAAACAAAGCATTTAGCGTTTAATAGGGTTGAAAGCTTTGGCTGGCATGTGCAATAGCATGCTAGGGCTTTAACTCCGCTTGTACTGTTCAAATATGCTTCCCAATAAAAGAAACAGTTAACAACGTGTTCAGGATACATACCTCCTACATAATGGAATTAGTTTCTTTATCAAGGGAAGCTAGGAGAAGTTAACAGAAATTGAAGTTGAGACCACAACCAGATCAACACAATCTTATTGAATGGCAGAGCAGCTCGAAGGGCCAAATGGCCTATTCTTGCTCCTCAGTCCTACATTTCTACAATGAAGGTGTGTTCCTGGTTAAATACCATCAAAACACCGTTACAACTGGATGCTTTTATCTCACACACACAACACCCAGCAGACCACTTCCCAAATTATAGACTTGTACTCATGCAACACCTTTCATGTCCTTACTAACTGCTTTTGAAGTGTAGCCGCTGTTACTTTGTAGGTAAACAGGGGGTTTATAGCCCACTGACTGATTCCATAAACAGCAAAGAGAAAAAAGTGACTAGTTAAGCTAAATGCAGTGTAAACACAGTTAAATATCGGCCAGAGGCACTGAGAAAAATGCAATGTTATCTTTTATGTCCATCTTAACAGACAGATGGACTGCGGGTTCTCTCTTTTCTTCTCGAAAGCACTCTCTCCAACAATCCTGCACTCTTACAGGACTGCACAAAAGCAACAGTTTTAAATATGTATTCAATTCCTGTATGGGGCCTGGACCCATAAATTGCTCCTTCAGAAGCTAACATCTTAATGAAGGCAAATAGGCAAATGGAAAGCACCATTCTCAACATGAACATCTCTATCATTTCAAATCTTGAATATTTATTCTTTCTAATAAAAAAAAGATTTGCATTTAAATAGTATGTTTTGGAGCTTCAGGAAATCCTAAAGCACCTTACAGCTACCAAAGTACTTTTGCAGTCTAGTTGCCATTGTAACTTTAGAAACACAGCAGTTATGGCATGCACCAAAAACTACCATAAGCAATAATATGATCACGTTCTACATGATTTTGGGTGAAGATAAATCTTGTCCACGACACTAACAGATGTGTCCTGCTTTTCCTTAAAATAATGCCAAGTTGAAGGTTCTTCATTTGATGTCTCGACTGAGATGAGGAACCTCAGAAAGACAGCACACCATCAATGCTACATTCAAGTATTAGTCTAGATTCTGTGCGTGGATTGGGACTTGAACTTCTAATCTTGTGTTTTAGAGGCAAGAGTGGTTTGAACAAAGCCACTGCCAACAAATTGGTATATTTAGTTCAACCACTGAATTCACTTTCAATGAAAAAAATCATGTTCAACTGCTCATCATTAATCAATGTAATCTTATAATGCCAAATAAACTCAACCAGAGAATGAACCTGGAGGCAAACACATGCCCTAACTTGTAATGGATTTACATAAAAGGCCTAATGGTCCAGCATGAATTTTGCTGTAAAGAATCTCTCTAATATGACTTCGCCATTTGTTATGTACTGATTTACACATGAATAAACAGAGTGATGAGTTCACTTTTCCACTTACCGAGTCAGCTACGGTTAATAGCTGAATTGTTTTCAGCAACTGCCAACCCTCACTGCTTCCTGTATCTTGTTTCCATTGGAGGAACTCTTCAACAATGAATCGGGCTTCATCTGTCACAAGAATGTCAGAAAATTATTTCTATTATTAAATACGGCATCATTTGAATGAACATCTTCTAAACTTGACGCATTTCCAAAACCAGTCGACTCACCCTTTATGTAAGTAGGAAGCTTTATAACGTTCTCTGTTTAACAAGAGGGTCATAAACTCCCAAACATTGATCAAGCCACTTTTGACATGACACCAGCAGTTAAAAATCAATCTCTAATGTTTCAGATTTTAACATGGATGGATCTGTGATCTGACCAGATTTTCAGGAATCCAGATAGGAATTGAAAAGGATCAATACCTACAGGATGATATCAATGTTCAAAATGAAACAAGTGGCTAAACAGGAAAGGTGTTAATTATCAATGTGTAGTGGTTCCAAAACCTTTAAAGGCTGGCATAAAAGCTATCAAATGACAAATTCCATCTTGGATTTTCTGCTCACTGATAACAAGTTTCATTTTTTAAGGATGTTGGTACAAATCAACTCTTCTTAAATAGTGTGTCTAATTTTGGGTATGACACTTCAGGTTGGATGTGAAGGCTGGCAAGAAAGTGCAAGAATGGTTTAGGAGAATGGTTCAAGGGATAAAGAACATCAATTACATGGCAAGAATGGAGAAGTTGGAATTGTTCTCCATCGACCACAGAAGGGTGAGGGAAAATTTGAAAGACACATTCAAACATTATGAGGGGTCTGGGCAGAGGTGACAGAAACAAACTGTTTCCATTGGACATCGATCAAAAACCAGAGGACACAAATTCAAAGCGATTGGAAGAAGAAATAAAGAGAAAACTTGCTTTCTTTTTTTAAAAAAAGCGCTCAGCAAGTGCTTACAATCTGATATGCCTGGCAGGAAGTGGAGAAGATTAAATCAGTTTTCAACATGGAAGTAAAGGAGGACAAAATGCAGGGCCATAGCAAACGGCAGGGGTGTAAGGTTAGCTAAATTGCTCTTGCCGTGAGTTAGCACAGGGTTTGACAGGCTGAATGGTCGCCTTCCGATTTGATTTGATTTATTACTGTCACACATACCTAAGTACAGTGAACAGCTTTGTTTTGCGTGCAGTACAGGCAGGTCATACCACACAAAATCATAGGGTGATAGAACAGAGCGAGGAATACAAAGTTACGGCTGCAAAGAAGGTACACAAAAAGCAAGATCATCATTAGATTTGAAATTTGAGAGGTCCATTCAGGACTCTAATAACAGTGGGGAAGAAGCTGTTCTTGAATCTGTTGGTGCGTGTGTTTAAGCTTTTGTATCTTCCGCCTGATGGAAGAGATTGGAAGAAATTATAACTGTAGTTAGAGGAGTCTTTGATGATGCTCTGTGCTATGATATTCCACGATTCTAAGAATTACATCTGTTCAATTGGAGACCAAGCAAGGCACAGAAATCAAACTTTATCACCTCATTCACCATGAAGTACTCAGCTTCATCAGTCAGACCTTTGCCAACAGAAAAACCATTTGGTCTCAAACTTTCCTGCCAAGTCCCAGATGATAACAGTTCCCAGTTTATAAATTAACTAATATATAGACAGTAGTAATGAGAAACAAACAAAAATAATAAAAAGTGACAACATATGTGTTGAATGTCATTATATTCTGTTCACTCTTTTTTTAAAATTTTGCGATAGAATTTTAATAGCCTTTTCCCGTTTTTTTTGAACAGTTTGTTAGAATCTGCTCCTTTCTTCATAAAGCAATCAGATAGCTGCCCGACACTATCCACCTATTTCAGTTTGGAGGGTTCACCATTCTCCAGTGTAGTGACTACAACAAGGTCAACCAGGTGGACCCCATAGAATATAAGATTCGTGACTGGGGCTGTTAATCTGGTCAATCAGGGAGCCCTGACTGACAAGTATAAACAGGAGTGTCAGACAAGGTGGCACGGTGGCTCAGTGGTTAGCATTGCTGCCTCACAGCGCCAAGGACCCAGGTTCAATCCCACCCTCGGGCGACTATCTGTGTAGAGTTTGTGCATTCTCCCTGTGTCTGCGTGGGTTTCCTCCCACAGTCCAAAGATGTGCAGGCTAGGTGGATTGGCCATGCTAAATTGCCCATAGTTTTCAGGGATGTGTGGTCTGGGTGGGATGCTCTGAGGGTCAGTGTGGACTTGTTGGGCCGAAGGGCCCATTTCCACACTGTAGGGATTCTATGATCTATGATCTGGTTCACTCAGAGCTAGCTGTGAAAGAGCTGGATCAGTGTCCAATACACTTCACATGTGAATAAAGGGTGATGGTGACAAAATACCAGTCTCTGTGGAGTTATTTCAGCCAGTGTCTGTTTGAAAACTGAAATCTAGACCCTCAGTCTTTTTACATTCAAGTATTTTGTCGAATGCTCATTATCCTGTAGTGACTCACTTCCAATGTGGCCCTCAAAGGGTATTGCTGCTTAATCCCTTTACAGAATTTCTTTCCATATTTTTGCTAAGAAAAATCCCACATCTACCACCTCTCAACAAGACCAAGAGTTTCTGTCACTATGTCACTTCTTATTACCTGTATCCATACAGTCTCATCAACTGTTAACAATATAGCCTCTATTTTCTGACATAAGGCTGAATGCCCCAAATGCTAGGAAGGAATGCTTTCAAAAAGATTATTTTAGTGCTTCTGACACTGATTGTAGCAGCATGTCAATCTGAAAATCTGACTCCTGTCAAAACGAGAAAGTCACAATACTGTGGCATAAGTCAAAAACTTAAATGCTGACAGAGAATGAGAAATTTCCATCTGGTATTTCTACAGACTTGTGCACAATCTACTGAATGCCACGGCACTATCTTCATTCTTTCCAACTTTATCAAAATCTGACCAGGCTTCGTAAAGGTAGTCAAGCATGGTTTTGACAAACTGTTCACAAAAGTTTATAATTTGTTCCCTTCAGCCCCACCTCGATGATAATACGAAGCTGACAAAAGGCATGACTGCAAACTTGTGAGGTAAAGGAAATTGGTTCATGTACATTTAGAATTTTAGTCCATGCGTCAAGCTGCCAAGCATCTTTAAACTTGCCTCTAATAAAGCATCTGAATAATCTGACAGTCAGTAGCACTTAAACAATTGCAAATAAGTTCATTAAATCACAGTTACCTCCTACTTTGCCATCTAGTTTCTGTTTGATTGTTTGCACCAACACCTTAGAGGCTTCAGTGGAGAATGGCAAAACACTCGGGAACATCATTATCCAACTACTTGAGTCGTCGTCAAAGACCTGCAAAGGTGAATAATAATGATAAAAGATCAAAAAAAACATCTTCTGCTAGCACTTTGAAATCACTTTATTTCAGATGGGAAATGAATCTAAGTTTACAGCTGGAATCTTAAACCAGAGTTCAAGACAGTCAAAGACAGCAATTTGTGTCAATGGTTAGCACTGATGCCTCACAGCGCCAGGGAGCTGGGTTTGATTCCAGCCTCTGGCGACTCTCTGTCTGTGTGGAGTTTGCACATTCTCCCCGTGTCTGTGTGGGTTTCCTCCAGGTGCTCTGGCTTCCTCCCTCAGTGCAAAGATGTGTAAGTTGACTGGCCATGCTAAATTGCCCCATAGTATCCAGGGATATGGCTCTGGGTGGGATGCCGTTCTGAGTGGGATACCCCTCAGCAGGTCAGTATGGACTTGATGGGCCGAATGGCGTGCTTCCACACTGTACAGATTCTGAGAAGTTAGAAGATATCCAGCAAGTGAGGCCGAGAGAAAAATCTTTCAGGTCAGAAGGAATAGCTATTTCTCTACCAGGCCCAAGACCCCCCTACAAATACTGCCTGACTTTGAGTGTTGCCAGCTTTTTATATTTCAGGATTTCAGCATTCACGGTGCTTTACCTCCTTCTTAGAAGATACTGCTATTGTTTTGTTGTTGGACATCTAGCACCAGGTTCATATTATTCTGCTAAGTTACACAGTTCTGAACTGCGCTATGGTTCAGCAACTGTAAACAGTCCAATGGCAGAAGAGTTGCCATCCAGAGGACACAGATTTAAGGCCCAGATTTAGACAAAAACAATTAATTACAAGCTAGTTATCCCAACAGAAAATGTTAGATTCTATTATCAAAAGGAAATTATAGTGAGGTACATAGAAAATCTTAATGCAATTGCAACAAGACAGAGTCAACGTTGTTTTGTGAAAGGAAAATCATGGTTATCAATCCAGTGCAGTTTTTTGAGGAAATAACAAGTTGGATAATGGGGAACCTCTAGATGTAGTGTACTTGTAATTTCCAAAGGGCTTTTGCCAAGTCAGCACATCAAATAAAACATTTGTGGTGTCAAAGGCAATGTTATCATGGATAGAGAATTTGTTGGTAACAGGAAGCAGACAGTAGGAATAAAAGGGTCATTTTCAGGCTTATAATTTGTAACCAGTGGAGTGCCACAAGATCAGTATTACTTTAATACCTGCAATCTAAATCAATGACTTGAATGAAGGGACTGGTGTATAGTTACTAATGACACAATATTGAGTAGAACAGTAAGTTGCAAGGAGAACCTAAAGAGGCTCCAGAATAATCTGGATACGTTAAATGAAGAGCTAGAGAATCTGGAAATGTATATACGTCGTGGCAAAAAAAAACTAGCAAGTAGAATATAATGTGGGAAATGTGAGCTCATCCACTTTGGAAGGAATTATAGCCAAGGAAAAAGAATAAAATACAAAATTTGAGAAAGGTCACAAAACTATGCAGGAAATGAATGCTGCAGGCTCACAAACAAGGCTAATGGAATGTTATCACTCATTTCAAGGAGAATAGAATATAAAATTAGATCATTTTGCTACAGTTGTACAACATGCTGTCAAGACCACACCTGGAATACCATGTACAGTTTTGGTCTACTTTCTTAAGAAAAGGATACATCTGCGTTACAAGCAGTTCAGAGAAAGTTCACTTAACTGAATTCCTGGAATGAAGGAATTACCTCATGAGGAATGGTTGGACGGGTTGGATCTGTATCCATTTGAATTTTGAAGAGCAAATGGTGATCTGATTGATGCAGGTCAGTGAGAATCCCGTATCTATTGAGTTGAACAGTCCACCCCTGGCCTTGTGTGATGTAATAGCACCTTAAAGTCAATCATTTAATAGAAGACACTGTGGAAATCTAGGCAAATGTCACAAATGAACCATCGCCTTAATATTTTTTATCAGCCTCTCTCCAGTTAATTTACAATCCAATGATTGATTTGTTGTCTTCTATTTCACTCTGTCAGGATTCCAATATTTGCATTTGTAAAAACAAATTCTAATAACCTTTACCAACTTCCTGCTCCACAGAGATTTCAATTGTATGGTGTGAGGATAATTGGTAGTCTACTCTATTAAACTATCGACCCAATAATCTAAAGTAACAGTAAAAGTATTTATGCTGGAGCTCAGCTGGAACCTGCACGCTACTTATGTAACTCTTTGCCTAGGTTCGAGGATGAGATCTTTGAGAAAGAGTTATTTAATAGGAAACTGGTGGTAATGTAAAAAGTCAGATATTTCATGGTGGAATTGTATACAGTATCGGTCACTTTACTTAAGTAAGCTTTCAAAAGCATTGGAAACAGTTTAGGGAAGGTTTACCGATCTAATACCTGGAATGTACAGTTGTCTATGGGGAAAGGCTGGGCTTGTATCCACTGGAGTTTAGAAAAGTAAAATTGAAATATATCAGATTCTGAGGGGATTTGACAAGTTGGTTGCTGAAAAGCTAGAAAGACAAAAGCTAGGGGACACAGTTTAAGATCAGGGGTCTCCAGTTTAAGATAGAGATGAGGAGAATTTCTTTTTCCTCTGAGGAAGCTTGTAGGTCTGAGGAACTCTTTTTCCGAGGGAACAGCAGAGAAAGAGTTATTGAATCCTTTAAAAGGCTGGGGATGCGATGGCTCAGTGATTAGCACTGCTGCCTCACAGCACCAGGGAAACGCATTCAATTTCACCCTCAGGTGACTGTCTGTGTGAAGTTTGCACATTCTCCCCGTGTCTGCGTGGGTTTTCTCCCACAATCCAAAGATGTGCAGGCTAGGTGGATTGGCCATGGGAAATTGCCCATAGCGTTCAGGGATATGGAGGTTAGGTGGATTAGCCATGGGAGATGCAGGGTTACAGGGATAGGGTGGGAGGGTGGAAGATTTGGTTCGGATGGTCTTCAGAGGGTCGGTGTGGACTTGATTGTCCGAATGACCTGTTTCCACACTGTATGGATTCTATGAGATAGATTATTGGTTGACAAGGGAGTCAGAGGTATAGCGGTTGACAGGGGTTGAAGCCACCATTATGTCAGTCATGATGTTATCAAATAGCAGATCAGGCTTAGATACTCTTAAAGTTTATTCCTACTCAATGTGTAAGTTGATAACTGCCAGAATAACCTAAGAGAAGAGAAGGATAAAACTTTTGTCCCACGCAGGAAGTTATGATTAGAAACATACTGATGGGCAGTGGAAGAAGATTCAATAATAACTTTCAATAATAGCTATTGTACTGTAGGAAACACAGCAGCCAAACTGTGCACAGCAAGCTTCCACAAACAGCAAGGCAAATCACAGCCAGATTAGATAATTGTGCAATGTTGATCGAGGCCAGGACACAGAAGGTAATTTCCTCGCTCTTGTATGAAACAAATGCTATAGAATCTTTTTTGGCCTCTAGAGTGTCAGTTTAGCAACACAGCCAAAAGACAATACCTCAGAAAATGCAGCATTCTTCAGCTCTGGACTAGAGTGTCAGCCCATGTTTTTATGCTCAGATTCTGGAGTGGAACTTGAATGCCATCTGTAATGTGTATGTTTTATACATATTTTAAAGTCTTTTATTTTACTGTTTGGATTTTGAACTAGTGGCATATGAGATTTGGTCTGTGTGTTTCTAGGAAGGGGTTTAATGATTAACTTGTAAGGCCTTCTGAAGCAATAGTTTGTTAAAAAGAAAAGAGATGTATAGTTTTTAGAGAGTATGTGTTTACATTGGGGCAGTTAAAGTAAACAATGTAGAGCATTAGGTTTCAGTTGGAAGGATCCAGGAATTGCGTTTCTTGGTCCGGTTTTGGGGATCCTTTTGGTTTTGGTTTGCAGAAATTCTGGTTGAACTCTTGTGTAAAAGAGCTTCCTCTGAGAAACAGGAGCCAGGAGGAGGCCATTCAACCCTTCGAGCCTTATCCACCATTTAAAATGATCATGGCTGATCATCCAACTCCATACCCTGTTCCTACTTTCTCCCCATACTCTTTGATCCCTTTAGCTCTGAGACCTATTTCTATCTCCTTCATGAAAATATTCAATGTTTTGGCTTCAACTCCTTCATTGTCAAAGAACTTCACAAGCTCACCACTCTGTAGGCGAAGAAAGTTAGATCTGCTAAGAAATAGGTTACCTTAGCGTAAGGAATTCGGTTTGAAAATTCCAGACGAGAAGCGTTGGTTAGACTGCAGAAGGGGCTTATGTGAAGTTGAGAAAGTCTAAGCTCAGTTCTATGAAGACTTAAGGAAGAAGCTGCTGGATTCTTGAGACTAGGAATTGAAACGTTAATTAAATGAAGGCATATAGATTTGGTAGAGAAGAAAATTGTCTCTGGTGAGAGTACTATAAAGGAGTGTTATTGGAATTAATGGGATTTTTTAATCACGTTTTGAAATCTATAAACTTACTTATAATTGTTTGGATTATCTTTTTTTCTTCCTTTCTTTTGCACGGTATTTTTTATTTTGGCCTCTAGAATGTCAGTTTAGCAACTCAGCCAAAAGACAATACCTCAGAAAATGCAGCATTCTTCACTGCTGGTGGAGTGTCAGCCCATGTTTTTATGCTATGGTAAAACCTAAAAATATAAATATTAGTAAGTTCGAGAGGGTTCTGAAAAAATTTACCAGGATGTTGCTGGGAATGGAAGGTTGGAGTTATAAAAATAGGCTAGGACTTCTTTTCACTGGAGCATAGGAGGTTGATAGGTGACCTCAGCATAGAGGTTTATAAAATCATGAGGGGCATAGATAAGGTGAATAGCTATGGTCTTTTCCCTGGGGTGTGGGAGTTCAAAATTAGAGGACATATTTCTCGTGAGAAGAGAAAGTTTTAAAAAGGACATGAGGAGCTACTTTGTTTTCTCTTACACGGAGTGTGGTTCACACATGGATTGAACTGCCAGAGGAAGTGGTGGGTGCAGGTACAGTTACAATATTTTAAAAATAATTGGATAAGTACATGAACAGGAAAGGTTTGGAGGGATATGGGCCAAACGTAGGCAAGTGGGACCAGTTTAGTTTGGGAACATGGTCGGTGTGGACAAGTTGCACCAAAAGGTCTGTTTCCATGCTGTATGACTCTATATAAATAACTTATCAAGCCAGATTTCAGTCTGGAATCTGACTTATCCAGTATTAACATCAGATGGGATCATAACACTTCTGCCTCAGAGGAGGGAGCGCTATCAACTAAGCGATGGTTGACATACAGATAGCTGATCAAGACAGTGCCTGAAGACTACACGGCTTTCTGAACACAGTGTTCTCGCTATGTTAGCTCCTGAAGTTGTGATGATGCAGCTTTCATTCATTGGATTCTGTGTGCCTCAGAACCAGTAATAACACAATTCAGTCATTAATGACCCAACAAATAAATGGACTCAATAAAAACAAAAATGGGGCCTTCTTGTGGTGCAGTGGCAGCGTCCCTACCCCTGAAACAAGACACCCGGGTTCAAGTCACACCTGCTCCAGGGGTGTGTAATAACATCTCTGAACAGGCTCTTTAGGTAAAAATAGGGTAAAAACGAAAATGGTCCCAGAATTTGCCAGAACACATGGTGGGACAATAGTGACTCCACAAGCACAAAATTCTTCATCAATAATGAAGTGTGGGGAATAGCCTCGCTGTCAACATCGAACATTTCAGCTGTTCATACAAAAATAGAATAAAAGCAAATAAAAGTTACCCCATTATAAACCGGTACGCGGGAGGAAAGACAGGAAATAGCAACAGATGTCTCAAATGATTTCAAGACCCTAATCTCCTCCAGAAATCCAGGTGATGGTTTCAGAACTTGCAACCTTCCTCTTTGCTGCTATTACAGGATCTGATCCTCTCCATTAGATTACTGCCTCAGAAACGCTCTCTAGAAATCTGTGGCTCTGTCGTGCTCTCTTTCACTGTCGTTCTTTTTAGAAAGAGAATTAATTTCCAGTGGAGCAGGCCCTCCCAATGCTGACCACTTTCATACGCTTGTATGGGTTGGTCACAGCTGAGCAAAGTGTCACAGACAGAATGCGAATCTATTTGTGTGACATCCCATATGGTGAACGATATGAGAGCAAGTGTGCATCAGAGATCAGCAACTGGGATACAGATTAAAAGAGCTCTCTCCTCTCTCTGTATCGTCAATGCCAAATAAGAATTCTTTGTCAAGTGGTGCTCTACTGAATTATTTCTCCTGCTTCTAAACATGCTGACCTTGTTACAGAGTAGTTACAAAGCATAAGAAGGCCATTCTGCCCATTGTGCTTGCACCGATTCTATTACCTGTCTTTTCCCCACATCCCTGCATCCAATTCACCTTTGAATGTCTCAATTTAACGAGGCTTGACCACAACTACTAACTGGCTGTGTGAAAAGATTTTTCCTCACATCACTCAGAGATAGCAAGAACTGCAGATGCTGGAGTCAGAGATAACACAATGTGGAGCTGGAGGACCTCAGCACTCCAGGCAGCATCAGAGGAGCAGGAAAGTTGACGTTTTGCAAAGGGTCCTGACTCGAAACATCAACTTTCCTGCTCCCCTGATGCTGCCTGGCCTGCTGTGTTCCTCCAGCTCTACACTGTGTTATCTCTGTTTCCTCACATCACCCTTGCTTGGTTTGCACGTCACAGGGAGGTGTGTATTGACGATAACTGTAAGCAAGCGATTCTCAATTTTAAAGTGCAGAGAGGGCAGGGCCACAGTGGGGTCAGAGGACATGCAATTCCCCTGACAATACACATCTCCCCGCAACAGCCTCTCAGTAATGATTAAGAGCAACAACCGAGCAGGGTATTTCCCTCCTTGAAGTTGGCAAGGAAGGTGGTGAGAAGCGGTAAGTAACTGGACAAGTTGGTCCTGCAAAGTTGAAAGATACCTCCCCTTTCACACCACCTCAGCTATCAAGAGTTAAGCCAGAAAAGGCCTTTACCAACTCACCAATTAGATAGCTTGAATGGTCAAATAACAGCCACTTAAGAATTCATCTCACCATGTCCCTAGTTATCTGCCTTCTCAGCAAGCAAATACAATGGCTGGTTTTAAGGGACCTTGTGATAAAGTCATAGTGTTCATTCCTTTGAGCCGGGAGGCCTGGATTTCAGTCCTACCTGTTCTAAAGGTATGTCATAGAATGGCTATTTTCCCAACTCAGTGATCTTGTTGGGGGGGGGAAGAGGGCATCTTGGCGTCCATTTACCCCAGTTTGGGAACAATTAGAGGCACAAATGAGGCAAGATTGGGGTCTCTGAAAGCCACCTCCCTTGCCTCTGTCTCTTATTCAACCCTTATCCCCAAACCTGTTGACCCTTAGGAATCAGAAGCAAAGGAAAAAGACCTACCTAAATGCTGACAGGATGTTTCCCTTCCTGGGAGAATCTGGCACCTGAGGGCAAACAGTCAGAATAAAGCACATTTAAGACTGAGATGAGGAGGAATATCTTCTCTCAGAGGGTTGAGAGTCCTTTGGAACTCCTTGTCAGTGCTGTGGACAGAGGCCTTGTGTATATTAAGGCTGAGATAGATAGGTTCTTGATCAGTCGGGGATACAAGGGTTACAGGGAAAGTGCATGAAAATGGATATAAGGAATGTCAGTTCAGCCAGTTTTAACTTATTTTTAATTCATCACAGGATGAGAGTGTCGCTGGCTAGGCAGCATTTATTGCCCATCCCTAATAGGGCAGTAAAGAGTCAACCACATTACTGTGAGTCTGGAGTCACACGTAGGCCAGACCAGGTAAAGATGGCAGTTTCCTTCCCTAAAGGACATTAGTGAACCAGATGGGTTTTTCCCGACAATTGACAATGGACTCATGGTCATCGTTAGACTGATAATTCCAGATATTTATTGAATGCAGTTTCCACCATCTGCTGTGGCAGGATTTGAACCCAGGTCCCCAGAACATTATCTGGGCCTCTGGATTAACAGTCCAGCGATAATACCACTAGGCCATTGCCTCGCCTTAAATTGCCTAGAGGGTAGTTGAAAGCCAACAATATTGCTGTGGGTCTGGGGTTACATGTAGGGTAGGGCAGGCCAGGCAAGGACGGCAGATTCCCTTCCCTCAGACATTAGTAAACCAACTGGATTTTTTGTACAATTGACACTGGTTCCATGGTCGTCATTAGACTCTTAATTGCAGAATTGTTTTTGTAAACTGAATCCAAATTCCACCATCTGTCACAGTGGGATTCGAATCTGGGTCCCCGGATCATTGTCAGGGTCTCTAGATGAGCAGTCTAGCAATAATACCACTAGGCCATTACCTCTCTATGATACTATCAAATGGCAGCTTGGATTTGAGGACCAAATGGCCTACTCCTGTTCCTCTTTCTTTTGGTCCGATTATCTCACCATTGGATTCCTGGAGGAGTAAACCTGAACCGATGGTTTTTAGGATCCAGAAGCTGCCGAACGCGGATTGGTTGGAAGCTTCCTGTGAGCCAGAATGCCACGGTTGAGGCCTGCGACAGGCTAAGAAAGTTGCCGAGCTGTTTGGTGTACAATCCGACAAATGTTCACAGTAGAATAGAGGTGGAGGGGGGAGGAGGGCAGTGATTTACTCCATATCCAATACAGCCACCACCACACATTTTGAAGAAAGGACAATGGCGGCCAAAGTGTCTTTTACTACAATATCGGAAATTGCTGCACACTGAACAGAACTGAAGAAGGATGTCACTGTTAACTCCGTTTCTTTCTCAACAGATGCTGCCAGACCCGCTGTGTTTCTCCAGCTATTTCTGATTTTGTTTCTGATTTCCAGCATCCTCAGTTGTTTGCATACTGTCAAATGGCCTGGTACGGCAACTGCTCTGCCCAGGACCGTAAGGAACTACAGAAGGTGGTGTGCACAACCCAGACCATCATGGAAGCCAACCTTCCATCCACGGACTCTATTTACACATCTCATTGCCATGGAAAGGCTGCCAACATCAAAGACCCATCCCACCCTGGTAATGATCTCCTACAACCTCTTCCATCAGGCAGAAGGTACAGAAGCTTGAACACACGCACCAGCAGGTTCAAGAACGGTTTCTTCCCTGCTGTAATTAGGCTGATGAATGGACTCAAACTTCAAATAATGTTGATCTTGTTACTATTGTTCTTGCCTTGCGCAATGTAACTTGGATGGCGCACTCTGTCCAAGTTTTTTTCACCCTATGATCTGTACATTCCTGCTTACTATAATCTGCTTGTACTGCTCGCAAACAAAATTCTTCACTGTACTTAGGTACAAGTGACAATAGATAAATCAAATTGTTTATTTTGTTTCACCACAGATGCTACCAGTTCTCCTGAGTATTTCCTGCACCTTTCATTTCACTTTCTGCTTTCAAGCATCCAGAGTATATTTGTTTTGAAGTTTATAATCAGATACACACACATCTCTTTGTGGGAATACACACAGATCTGATTTAGTTCAATCAGAAACATATAAAGATAAAAATCTCATGTCAGCTTCCTCTTGGAAAGCTTTCTTCCCACTTTGATACCAAGTACAAACGAAGTGGTAACTATGTAATGACAGCAAAAAGGCAGAAGGGTGGAAACATAGAGAGTACCTGCAGGAATTGAGAGATAAGCCCATTCCACACTTTCTGTCTCTCTTCCTGCGAGAGATTTGGAAGCGAGCGGAGGTAATTGGAAAACTCCTTTTCCAGACATTCCAGAGCTGCGGAATTTGGGTCCTCCTGCTCCTGGGATTCCACAGGCTGGCTCGTGGCATTTTCACACCCTGCTTGTGGAGGGGCCACTTTACACTGAGGGGGCACAGCATGCCCCGCTAGCTGTTTCAACCTCTCCATATCTTTCTCCATCTGTACAAGTTCCTGCTTCTCACAGTAGCGAGGAAGAAGTGGCTTTCAATCTGTGAACGAAAACTCAATAAGCACATGTGGATTTCACTGCCAATAGGACACAAAGGCAACCACTCAAGTCCAATTTATATAACACCTTTCATAAGCTCATAATATACCAAAATGCTTTACAGCCACCGACGTACAGCAGTCAGTACAAACTAAAGGTAATGGGGGAAATGAGATCAGTCATAAATAAAAGGTACATGGTTTGTTTTGATTCATAGAATCTCTACAGTATGGAAGCAGGCCATTCAGCTCATCAATCTCACAGCTAGGCTCAGAACAGCATCCCACTGAGACCCACCTCCATACTCTATCCCAGTAACCCTGCATGTCCCATGGCTAATTCACCTAGCCTGCACGTCCCATGGCTAATTCACCTAGCCTGCACGTCCCTGGACACCTATGGGGCAATTTAGCACGGCCAATCACCCTAACCTACGCATTTTGTACTGTAAGAAGAAACCGGAGGAAAACCACGCGACACAGGGGGAAAATGTGCAAACTCCACGCAGATAGACAGTCTCTAAAGGGGGATTTGAACCCGGGTCCCCAGCACTGTGAGGCAGCAGCACTAACCGCTGAGCCACAGTGCCACCCCTCAATTCATGCAGCTCAATTGGACAAATCCATGCCTCTCAAGTGTGTGCCACCAAAAATAGTGCACCCCTGACATGATCTTCACGCACGCCCCAATTTTCCCGCACTCCTGCAACATATTGCCAGCAATCTTCTCCCCTGCCATAATTAATTCTCCCGTCGCCACTGATTTTCCCCTCTTGTGCTCCCCTCCCCCCACCTCACCCAGCAACTTTTGATTATTATATTATAGGAATTTAAAATGATTGGACCTTCACAGGTTGGATCATAGGAATTAATAGTTCCACTGGGAGCAGTGACATGTCCCCTCATATATAAACCCCACCGTGAAGCTTTCGCTTGATGCTTTTGAGCACATTAAGTCGCAACCAACACTATCTATATTAAATTCACAAATAATCATATAATGTGATAAGCTGTATAAAACTAGAGCATAACAATGGCACTGAGATAAATAATTAAAAGCAAATGTAACATTTAAAATCACTTTTTTTAAATATTAGAAAACATCTGAAACTTTAGTACTAATCATGCAAAAGTAAAATTACAGATGTATATACAATTCTGCACTTAAATAAAATCTGTTGGACTGTGACACACACACACACACACAATTAAATCACACAGGTTGGTCTTGTGTACCTTCAGCGCATTAGGAAAGCAGCAAGAGAACATACCTGACAGTAGGGACTGCTCAAATTCCTCTGTAGCTTGCCATATACAAATCCCTTCCCCGAACACCTGGCTTCATATCTCTCTCCAATCACAAAACTGATAATTAAATCCTTATCTGCAAACCACCGAATTTCTTAGGTTTTACTCTGCAGCCTAGTCTTTGACCAGTGAATCACCAGAGACCCAAGTCATGTGGCTCACTTCCTGATAAAAGAAGAAGTAAGTGAAATGTGGGCTGTCATTGCATTATTAACCCAGTGTGCAAACTTTGCAGAACTTCTCATGAGTGAATGGTTACTTATCAATGCTCTCCGCACTTAACTCTCTTCAATTGTACAGCAATAAGAGATTTGCATCTGGACTGAATGACCCCAAGATATTAGAAACCACTTTTGTTGACAGGAGTTTGGTAATCAGAGGACACAGCAGAAAGGAGAAATGAGGAGTTTTTTTTTGAAACTTACATTTCATGATCTGGAATGGTCTGTCTGCAAGGGTGATGAAAGCAGAATCAACAGTAATTTTGAAAATGGAACAGCACACCGACATGGAAGAAGAAACTTGCAAGGAAAGGATGGGGAGAAGGACTAATTGGTTAGGTCATTCAAAGAGCCAAACACAGGCACGATGAACCAAGTTTACTCTGGTTTACTCTCTGGTTAAAACACATGAAGGGCTTCAGTGCCAAAACTGTTCCACCATCTTTCACATTGAAATCTCACACTCATCACCAAGGCAACCACCAGCAGCGACTGGACTGCAATTTAAGACAGGAAAACCAAAACAGAAGAGAGTTTCCATTTAACTTGAGCAGTAGGGAGGAGAAGGGAGTGCTGAGACCGTCAGTCACAGTGGGGAAAAATGTGGAGGGAGGAGAAACAAGGCAAAATTCACAAGGCCTCATGCGAAACTGTATTTGTAAAATGTTACAGATTCAGCGTCGCTGTGGCAGAATATTCCTTCAACAAAAAAAAAGTTGACTTCCTGTTTTTCCCCATATGGAACTGTTGTCATGCCAACAAAACTCATTGTCGTTTTATGGCACTTGCACCTTCTCTTGCAACAGCAGATTATTAACATCTGAGAGAAATTTCACTCTATACACGCTCCTGTGCAATCCATACTGGCCCTGGATATGTTTGTTAGGTATTTTGTGTACTTGGTAGATTCTTTTGAAATTCCATTTCCATTTCATTGAATGGCTGTAGACTGGGCTAAAACTGGGGCATTGGTCCAGTCTCGCATTCAAAAGTTAGCAGCTGCAACCACACAGCACTCCCTTTATTGAACCGGTTGAGCCTTGATTTTCTGACCAAGTCGCTGGGGTGGGAAGTGAAACCTTGAATTACCTTTTGAGCCATGCTGGATACCATAACGGAAAAACGTCTACTGAGGATCCAATGCATAATCCTGGTCAAAATGAAAGATTATATTGTCCCTTTCTCTTAAAATGAACTGAGTTTTAAAATGCCAACATTCAATGCCAACTACCACCCAGACAGAAGTTTTGGTTAAAAGAATTTTTTTCAACCAACCTGTTTGGACATTGGTTAGGCCACTTTTGGAATGCTGTGTTTAATTCTGGTCTCCCTCCTATAGGAAAGATATTGTAAAACTTGAAAGGTTGCAGAAAAGATTTACAGAGTTGGAGTGTTTGAGCTATAGGGAGAGGCCAAATAGGCTGGATCTACTTTCCCTGGAGCGTCGGAGACTGAGGGATGACCTTGTACAGGTTTATGAAATCATGAGGGGTGTAGATAGGATGAATAGCTAAGGTCTTTTCCCTGGGGTAGTGGAGTCCAAAACTAGAGGGCGTAGTTTTAAGGTGAGAGGGGAAAGAATTAAAAGGGATCTAAGAGACAACCTTTTCACACAGAGGGTGGTGCACGTACGAAATGAGCTGGCAGAGGAGGTGGAGGAGGCAGGTACAATTACAACATTTAAAAGGCATCTGGATGGGTACATGAATAGGAAGGGTTTAGAGGGATATGGGCCAAATGCTGGCAAATGGGCCTAGATTAATTTAGGATATCTGGTTGGCCTGAAAGATTTGTTTCCGTGCTGTATATCTCTATGACTCCAAGTAGGACTTAAACTCAGACCTTCTGGGACAGAGGCAGGCAGACTGCTATGGCACCACAAGAGCCACCCAACAACTGTACTGTGAAAGAAACATTCTGATTTGCAAAGTTCAGTTGACATTGCAGTGAAATGAAAAAAAAACATTCAACCATTCTGCTTACAGATTCACACTGACCTCCTGAACGGGCTCCAGGTAAACTCTCTGCATAAAATAGCTAATGCATGAACACAAACATGTTCTTGGTGACATGAAAGCACTTGCACTAACTTAGCCAATTCTTTTCTTGAGCTGGCAGAAAAAGAGAAGACGCCACATCAGCCATGGTCATGAATGAGAGCGAAAACGGGCTAGATGAGATGTTGTCCCTTTCATTACTAAGGCAACACAGGTGAAGAGTGGAAGAGCATCCCTTAGGATACAAACCATATTTGACCAATATTTCTTTTTCCTTCTTGTTGTGCCGCAGAATAGAAAGCTCCACCACAGACGGTTATGACCTTATTACTGTTGATCCCAACTTAACCTTCCTTATCTCTGGTTTATGGTGCTCTATACCTCAATCTGCAAAGAATACAGTTTTCTAGCAATGCAAAACTACTGCAAGGTTAGAGACACAAAAAATTAAAAGCATGCAGATAAGGTATCATGAAGCTGAACTAAAATGGGTTTTCCCCAAGGAAAGGTTCCAGATAAGGGCAAAATTTATAAGATCAATGAAGGAACAATGCAATAATCATAATTTTATGTGTAAAGAAGGCTAATTTCACTTCTTAAAAACTAGACAGGAGCTTCCCAGCATCACAGATTTAATCACAATTTAATCAACTCCACATGGTTTTAAGACGTCACTGAAGGCCCTAGAGACAAGTTGTGTGGGCCCTGACAACATTGCAGCAAAAGTACTGAATGCATGTGCCCCAGAACTTACCACACCCCTAGCCAAACTCTTTCAATACAGTTATAACACTGGCGTCTAATGAGGAAAATTGTTTAAGTGTGTCCTGTAAAGAAAAAGGCAGGACAAATCCAACCCAGCTAAATTCCGCCCCATCAGTCTCCTTTTGATCAGTAAATGATGGGCGGTGTCATCAACATGCTTACCAAAGCAGCACCTGCTCAGCAATAACCTACTCAGTGACGCCCAGTTGGGTTCTGCCAGTGTCACTAAGCTCCTGATCTCATCACAGCTTTGGTTCAAACATGGATAAAAGATCTGAATTCCAGAGGAGAGGTGAGAGTTACAACCCTTGACATCAATGTCACATTTGACTGAGGATGTTATCAAGGAGTCCTAGCAAAGCTAGAGTCAGTGGGAGATAGTAGGAGCTGCCGATGCTGGAGTCTGAGATAACAAGGTGTAGAGCTGGATGAACACAGCAGGCCAGGCAGCATCAGAGGAGCAGGAAAGCTGACGTTTCAGGTCTGGACCCTTCTTCAGAAAGATCTGGACAAATCCATATTTGGCTGATGAGTGGCTACACAGTGGTAGGCAATGGGCATCGCCAGCAAGAGAGAACCATTGGCATTCACTGGCACTGAATCCCCCACTATCAACATTCTGAGGGTTTCTATCAAGTAGAAACTGAACTGGACCAAACATATAAATAATGTGGCTTCAACCTATACCAAATGAACTGAAGTAGTTCAAGAAAGCAGCTCACCTCCACTTCTTAAGAGCAACTGCAATGAGCAATAAATATTGTACCAGTCAGCAATGCCCACATCCCTTGAATTAATAAGATATAAAAAAAGGTTGCCATAAGTCACATGACTGTCCTTGTTAATTCACCCATAATGGACTAGCAGTTACCCCAATATTAATAATTAGATTTCAATTAACCTGAGAATATTTCAGAGACAAGAAATTTGAAGAACATCCTTTACGCCTTTGTGTTTGAAACAGTTAAAAGGTTTTATTTGAATGTACAGGATTCTCCCAACGTCATTATAGGTGCAACAGAATATTCTCAAATATTCTGCAGAAACTTGGTAATAACATTTACACTGTCTCTCCGCTACTCCATGGGCCTGTCAAAACAGTATCCATTTAATCCTCCATTTACACTTATTTATCATTTCTCCATTCTTGCCCAATTGAGCAAGCTCCAATCATTTGGCATAATTTCCATAAAAATCAATGTTTAAATGCTGACATAGGTGCACACTTACTGACACATGGGGGCTATATGTATTGAAAGCTTTGCTGTTAGTTATTATTAAAAACAAAAGTAGGTTCAGCAGCTAGATAAATTCACAGCTTGCTGGCTGGCTATGCCAATGTTGTAACGAAAACTACAGAGTTGAAAATGATGGGACAAGTGCATGGAAAAGAACCACTTGACTTTTGGTATAGCCAGATGTATCAGTGTGTTTAGGAATTTCTGAGCAATGCAGAAATCCAGAAGCTTTTCCAAACTTGTTGAACAGAATGCACAGCTGCTCTTCATACAATGGATCCCACTTACATAAATGCTAGAAGCCCTGGCTTGTTTTGGTAAATTCTAGGACCACAGCCCTGTCAAACATGCACAGGAATACTGCCAGAGTTAAACCAACTGAAATCATGTAGTTTACCAGAAGGATACTCGTAAACATTCCACTACTTATTCCCCTGGTGCCAACTTAACAATTAAGGCATTGGCTCAAGAGCTGAGTAGAAGGGAGTCCAAAGTCGTAACAGTAGGTCTATTCTTCCAAATTCAAGTAAACAAGCCAGGTTCATTCTGCCTACTTTAGGGTCCTGAAATACCGCTAAGTCGCCTGACCTAGTGTTTTGACTTTGTTCAAATCTACCGGCACCACTCAACTCCAACAAGGATTCAAAGAGACTGCAGAAATGGCAAAAGAACAACAGGTAGGGGGGAAAGGGAGCTAATATTGGAAGACATGAACATTCCAAGTCAAATACAGTTCTGATAGAAGCAAAATATCGCAGAAGCTAGAAATCTAAAACAAACATAATTTCTCCAGCATTCTCTAGGTAGGTTTGGCAGCATTTGTGGAGAGAGAAAAACAAAGTTAATGTTTCACGTTCTGAAGAAGAGTCATACCAGACTCAAAACATTAAGTCTGTTTCTCTCCCCTCAGATGCTATCAAAGCCGTTGCGCTTCTCCAGCAATTTTTGTTTTTGTTTCAAATACAGTTCAGACAACTCTAATGCTTAGAGTTACAGACTTTGTGCTAAGTGTTGTGGTAAAATCATGTATCCATTGACCTAGATCAGCAATGAGCCAGCATGCTTGCTCACCCCCTCCTCTCCCTCAGCAGAAAACCCCAAGATCCTGCAATTCTGGCATCTCTGAGTTTTATCACATCACCAATGAGGGTTGTACCTTGATCCATCTCAGCCAAAATCTCTCATACGCGCTCTCTAAACCTCTCCATGCTCAAGACACACCTTAAACTAGCCTCTTGGACAAAGGCTTAGACACCATATGTTAACAGCTGATGTGACTCAGTGTCAAATTACGTCTGATAATTAAAATCGAAAGAACTGTGGATGCTGTAAATCAGAAACAAGAACAGGAGTTGCCGGAAAAGCTCAGCAGGTCTGACAGCATCTGTGAAGTAAATTCAGAGTTAACGTTTCGGGTCCAGTTACCCTTCCTCAGAACCGACGGTAGCAGGAAAATGTCCATTTGTATGCAGAAGATAGGATGGGGGAAGAGGAGTAAATGGAACACTGCAGCAAGCCTGAGATGAAGATGTTGGCCAGGGAACAGGGTGGTGTGTTTAAAGTGGCAGGCAACTGGAAGCCCAGGGTCTTTTTTGCAGACAGATTGTAGATGTTCTGAGAAGCAGCTTGCTGCAGTGTCTAGTGAAGCCCAGCAGAAGATGGAAGAACATCACCTCATTTTTCCACTCGGGGACCCTGTAGCCCTCTGGACCGAGTCAATAATTTTAGGGCCCGAACTCTCCCAAGTCCTAGCCCCCTACTCCACACACCAGACTTTGTTACCACATAGCCTGCCATTACACGATACTTATTGTTAGTCACTAAGAGTCCCCATTAACAGCTATTCACCCTCCTAGCCAGATCGACTCTTTTGTCTGTCCAACTGATCTTTTCTCTCTTTGGGTTCTATCCCCAGCTATCATTTATTTGTTTCCTCCTCTCCCCGTACTATCTTCTGCATATAAACCCACACTTTCCTAGCTACCATCGGTTCTGAGGAAAGTTCACCGGACCCGATATGTCAACTCTGATTTCTGGTCACAGATGCTGCCAGACCTGCTGAGCTTTTTCCAGAAACTTCTGTTTTCGTTTATGACTGATGATTAACTGTCTTGTGAAATTCCCCGAGTTGTTTAGACTGGATTGGAGGTGCCGCATCAATGCACAAAATGGTTGTTGAAAATTTTTGGAAGGTGTCTCTTTCCTTAAAATATTTGCATTTGTTTTTAAACAGTTTTTGAATCGTAATGCAAAAGTAACAAAGACGTGATTAGTTCTTAGGTCACTTCCTTACTTCAGATACAGATGTGGGTTAAGACCTGACTGATTTGCAGGATGTTTAACCACGTAACTTTGGGCCAAAGGGCCCCTTTTTAAAAAAATGCACGTCAACATGTATTATTGATGCAGATTACCTTACTGCAGGTCCACATTAATACTTTTGCTTCCTTTCAAAAATGCCTTAGTAGAAGAAACTGCTTTGTTGCATTTGATGCCCGCCTCGTCAGGAGACGAAGTAAACACTGCAAACGTGGGACACTTTTTCTTAAAACATTGTGTTGCGCCGAATGTTTTTATTTTCGGAGAAAATTTGCATTGAAAGTTTGCATACAATGTACCTCTTGGCAGCTTCTCCAGCTGAGCGCCAAGTTTCGCTTCCTTTGCGTTTTATAAGTTGCGTTTGAAATAAATAATGTAGGAGGAACTTAGTGGCCTACTCAAACTGCCACTTGTTCCGTTTGTACCAGACAAAATCCCACCCCGACTCAATCCATGTCCACCCAGCAACTGCCCAGCCCTCCGGACTGAGTCAATTTCCCCCGATGAAATTGCATAAACTGGGACTTACTTTCAGAATTTACGCACCCGGAATTCAAACATGTAATAGCTCGCAATTCACCCAATCCGTAGGTGAGCGATCCAAAACTGAAGTTTTCTCGGATTTCCAAATCACAAGACAAGTTTTATTTTCTTTTTTTAAAGAAACGCTTCTGGGAGTTGTTTTTGCATCAGACTGAGAAACACCTTGTAGGGGGTTTGCTGACACACACAATCTTCATCCGGCTTAATCAATCTGCTTTAATGAAAAAAAAATTGCCAAAACTTAATTTAACTTGGAAGATTACTATTCTGGGCACCGCTGCTAAGCAACCCGAGAGCAAAATAGTTTTTTTTGTTTTTTTTTAAAAGAGACAACGTAATGTTACCTGTTTCATTGAATACTTTCATATGTTCGTTAAGAAATATTTAAGATGTTTTATTCATACTTGTTTTCAAATCCCTTCATGGACTTCCCCCGCTCTATCTCTATAATCTCCTCTGGTCTACATTCCTGAGATTCTATACTCCTCTAATTCCGGCCTCAGATTTTACTGCCATAGGTTACTTTAGCCTCACGTTCTGGGATTGTACAACTACGTCTTTCTTGTTTTTTTACATCACTCTTTCTGTACAAAGAAACCCCAGCTACTTCTGTCTCCATAACCATAAATCCACATGTCTGCCTTAGACCACTAAGAATTCTTAAAAATCTACCTCTTCCACCAAGCTTTCAGTCACTTGATATAAAATCTCCTTAAGCGCTTTGGCATCAGACTTAGTTGAAAAATATTCCCATGAAACGTCTAGGGGTATTTCAATATATTGAAAGTGCGAGATAACAGCATTAGATAATAGAGCCAGATTGGATGGATAGAGTCAAACTGGATAATAAAGTCTGATTGGTTAATAGATCCGGACTGGGTAATAGAGCCAAACAAGGTAATAGAGCCAGACTGAATAATAGAGTCCAACTGGATCATAGGGCTGCACAGGATCATTGAGCTGGTACAGGCACAATGAGCTAAATGGCCTCCACTTGCACCGTGGCAATTCTGTGATGCTGTTGTAGGTTGTTATTGTTAAAATGATGTTGAGCAGCAGTAAAGCACCTTTCAAACTTTGAGTAAAAAATCTCTAGAATGAGGGGAAATAAAGACTTGCATTCATATTGTACGTTTCCTGACAACAAGCTACCACAAAGGGCTTTGGAACCAATGATGTGCTCCTTAGAATGTAGTCACTGTTGGAGTGTAGGAGATGCAGCAGTTATTATGCACACGGCGAGCTCCGTGGAAAGCAATGTGATCGCATCAAGATCTTCTGATTTTGTGACTTTGAATGAGGGATAAATATTGGCCAGGACACCAGGAAGAGGGTCCCATACTGCAGCATTTTTGACATCCACCTAACAGGGTAGATAGCTCTCACTTTAACATCTCACCCCAAAGACAGCATCTCAAAACTGCATTAGAATGCGGTCCTTGATTTCAAAGTTTAGGTCCTTTGCGGGCCTTATCTTGGATCCTCAGAGATATTAGCTTACTATTGGGTACAACTGACACCAGGAAAGTGGGACACCACAAGGCATTGACAATTAGATCAGAGAGCAAATCGCAGATCAGTAGTAAGCTCTGAGCTAGGGCAGGGGCATGCTCAAGTACATAATAAAATGTAAACATGAGAGTGTTCCCAGACCTCTCTAAACACCTGAATCAACTCCAGGTGACTTCAGAATTTCTCTGAGGTTTTCACTTCTGGTACGGCTGTAAAAAAAACTTAACAGTGTGAGAGGAGCTCTACGCCATAAAAAAGTGAACAGTTCTGACTTACAAGGCATTAATTTATTTCAATACTGTTGATTATTGTTGATTTAGCAGTGAATGTTCTCATTTTCTAAGTGTTAGCCAGCCAGCTGACTGCAATTCTTTATTGTTCATCGGTTTACACTGCAAGTCTTGAATAAAATTTATTTAATCGGTTGCAGTAATTATACCAATATATCAAAAGGTGAGAGAGATTCCAGGACACTATAAATGTCACATGGTAGGGGCTGTGGTAGAAGAGTGAATTAGTATTAAAACAAAAGGCTGTAAGTACTACATAGAGCAACAACACTGCTTTTATATGGCATCTTTAAGGCAGTAAATTGACTCATGGTACTTCACAAGAGGTTATTCAAGCAGAATTTGATTTCAAGCCCATAAAGAGACATTAGAGGAGGTGACCAAAAGCTTGATTGCAGATTGATTTTAACATTGAGTATAGGAGTTGGGACATCATGTTGAGGTTGTACAGGATGTTGGTGAATCCTCCCCTGGAGTACTGTGCCCAGTTCTGATCGCCACGTTATAGGAAGGATATTATTAAACTGGAGATGCTTCAGAAAGATTTACCGGGATGTTGCTGGGAGTGGAGGGTTTGGCTTTTAGGAAGAGGTTGGATAAGCTGGGACTTTTGTCATTGGACCGTCGAAGGTTGAGGGATGACCTTATAGAGGTTTATAAAAAGGGTGTAGAGATATAGATAAGGTGATCTTTTCCCTAGAGTTGTGGATTTCAAGACTAGGGGTTGAGAAGAGAAACGTGAGAGGAGAAAGATTTATAAAGGACACATGGGGCAACTTTTTCACACAGAGACTGGTTCATGTGTAGAATGAACTTCCTGAGGAAGTGGTGGATGCAGGAATAGCTGCAGTGTTTAAAAGATATTTGTTTAAGTACATGAATAAGAAAGGTTTGGAGTGATATGGGCCAAGCGCAGGTAGGTGGGACTAGTTTAGTTTAGGACTATGGTCGACGTGGACTGGTTAAGCCAAAGGGTCTGTTTCCATGCGATATTACTCTATGACTCTATAACACAACTTGTTTTTCTATAATGCCTTGAATGTGACAAATGTCCCAAGATACTTAAGAAGGGCCTTAGAAGAGAGTGAGATAAAAAGAATTTTGAGGTGGGAATTCCAGAGCTTCATGTTATAATAGCAACTCCTCTCCCTTGCTTCCAGTTTTACAATGCTGAGAAGCTTGGGTTAATTCACTGGTACCAATCCTTCCTGTTGGTTTCGACCTAAGCTACAGGTACCATGTTGGGAAGGATGCCCACACAAACTCTGCAGCAGAACTTAGTCTCAATCCTGACGAACAACAAACAGGTTTATCACATAGTACTTAGTAACTGATCATATATCATCTGAGATACGTTATTGTCTCTTGTGAGGCAATCAGGCTCAGTGTAAGTACATTATTATTTAGCCAAATGTTGTTAAGACCAAGAACAATCACTGAAGCACAGGTCAGACTCTGCTGAACACATGCAGTACGTATGGAATTCTTGGTAGCTCCTCCAAGGCACTGTCCCCTATATAGAGGATAGCGCTTTTCTTACAATGTCAGTTATGTTGTGACTCACTGGGGTAGTGTGCTGGAAATTAAGTCCTTACAACTCACAGTGTGTTCTAGTCACTTAGCTTTAAAACTGCAAATAGCTTCTTCCATACTTTCCTTATTTTAAAGTGGTATTTTTTTCCCATTTTATAGTCCACAGCACAAAAAAAAGGAAAAAAAAAGTCTCCACATTTAAGGTTTTTCAGGTACTGACTGTTTTGTACAACACTAAGGGCCCTTCAAGGTAAGGCCCCCAGTGAAATATTAATCATGAATGATTAGGAGACCAAACAAGTGCAAGCCACACTATTTCATCCGATGGAGCCTCATAATATGGGTCATTTCACCAAGTCCACATTCCAATCTGCTGCTCCAGCCAACTCCGCTGCTATATTCCGCTTCTACACAAATCTTTGGAATTCCCACCTCAAAGTTCTCACTCTCTTCTAAGGATCTCGTTAAATGTCTTGGAACTGTTGTCACGTTCAAGGCACCAAATAAATACAAATTGTTTTGTTAAAATCGATCCCCAATCAAGTTTTTGGTCACCTCCCCTAATGTTTCTTTGAGGGCTTGAAGTCAAATTCTGCTTGATGAATCTAATATTGTCATGTATTTAACTACCAAGGACGTGAGCTCTGGAATTCCTTCTCCTTGTAATTTCTCCACCTCTTTCCTCCTCCTTCAATAGCAAACGTTGCGACTAGCTTTTGACCATCCTTATAGACCAGATTTTGCAACCAGTCATGGACAGTGGTTCAGTTCATTGATGGCGCCCTCTTAAATTTTTGAATGGAAACTTGCTGTCAATGGGTGGCTCAGGCAATACAGTGACCCCTATGGGGTATTCATTAGCAAGGCAAGAAAGTGCAAGGCACTTCAACTGAAATAGGATGAAGAATTCTAGCAGAGCTCACAGTGTTAAAACCAAGAAGTGTAATTCAGGAAGTCAAACATCGGTAAAAGAGATACAAAATCAAAACGTTCTGAGTGGGGGAACGAGGCAACCATGGCTGGCAATGGATATCACGAAAGCAAAAGATAAAGCATATAATGTGGTGAAGAAGCCAAAGGATTGGGAAGCCTTTAACACCCAGTAAAGCACAACCAAAAAAGCGATAAGTGTGGGAGTGAATGAAATATGAGGCTAAGCTAGCTAGTAATATAAAAAAAATTGCAAGAGTTTCTTTAAATATGTAAAAGGGAAGAGAGAAGCAAGAGTGGACATTGCACCATGAGAATATGAAGCTGGAGAAGCAATAACTGGGAACAAAAAAATGGTGGAGGAACTGAATAGGTACTTTATATCAGCCTTCACAGTGGGAGACACCAGTAGCAAAGCAGAACATTAAGAGAGTCAAGGGCAGATGTGAGTGTCGTGGTCATCACTAAGGAGAAGGTACTGGGAAAGCTGAAGGGTCTGAAGATGGGTAAATCAACCGCATCACATGGACTACACCCCTGATTTCTGAAGGAGATAGCTGAGGAGATTGTGGAAGTATTGATGGTGATCTTTCAGGAATCACTGGAGTCAGGGAGGCTCCCAGAGGACTGGAAAATGACTGATGTAATACTCCTGCATAAGAAGGGAGGGAGACAGAAGGCAAGAAATTATATCAGAGATAGTAGGAACTGCAGATGCTGGAGAATCTGAGACAACAAGGTGCAGAGCTGGATGAACACAGGAGGCCAAGCAGCATCATAGGAGCAGGAAAGCTGACGAGTCTAGGCCCGAAACGTCAGCCTTCCTGCTCCAATGATGCTGCTTGGCCTGCCGTGTTCATCCAGCTCTGCACCTTGTTGTCTCAG